TGGATTGGCACGCGGGAAACCGTGGTTCGGCCAGTGCGGCTTTGTCGGGGCAAGTACCTCTGTGATTGTTCACATGTGCTTTTTCACCACGCAATGCTCCTCGAGGAGGGTTAAGGCGACCTTCTCGTAGCAAAATTGCCTAATTTCCCCTACCCCCCTCCCAGTAATGGGAGTCCTCCTATATCCCTCTTCCCTTCCTTCTCCCAAGTGCTAAGTGCCCTGTGTAGTGCCCTAATTAAAGGAGTCGGACGTAGAGCACTCTAATATAAAAAAATAATAATAAAAAAAAATTTACACTTTGAGAGCAGCAAACATATCTTCATTACACATTAAGTCAATTTTTTATGCAACCGGTTGGTGACTAATTAATAATTCTGCAATATTGCATGGGAATGCTTATTTACAAAATTTTGTTTTTTACTAAAGCATGTCTACTTTTGCGCATGAAAATCACTCGTGACCGAGCCATAAATCATTGTCGATACTTAAATTTACTGATACACGAGCGCTTGATAATACTTCAAAGTCGAGCATCATTGTGAATTTAATGACTTGCTATCATTGTTAATAATTTTTGTTTTATTCTGTGGTCGTGATTTCGAACGCAATTTCACGTCCGAAGCAGTAACACAACCCTTACGTTTTACCTGCCAATCGTGGTAGTACACACAAAAGTTTTACAACATAAGCATTGCCTCGATTTACAAAGAGAAGTCGTAACCTTGGGCACTATACGTAGCAAGTTCGTCACGGTAACAATAGGTATTCTTTGGAAACGTTGCTCGAAATAAGGAATGCCAAGTAAGAGATAATCGTATGGAAGTATAGATCTCAGGAAGTAGATCAAGCCAAAAGTGGTAAGCCAGCAAGACTAGCTGTAACAGCAGCGCGCTGTAGTCGTGCAGCTTCTGAATTTCACAACGTGTTTACATTGGCTTATACCGCATTGCATACGTATCGCAGGCACACCACAGGAACATAGTGTACTATATTACCCTTATGCTCGTACACTCGACTCCTTGTTTGTCCTTTGTTTCCCATGTTTTCGGCTACAGTGTGTACTTTAGCCACATACAGTACACTCAATTTCTTCATGTGAAGCAGCTGACGTAGTAAATAATAAACTATACGTATATATTTCGCAAAAGATACTAAACACGTCGCATAGTGTATACAACCTAGAAGTTTTTAGTGGGGGGGGGGGCGGGGGTGTTAACGAGGAGGAGTCAAAGTGAGCCCGTTAAGCGTAAGAAAGTTTTCTCATGCATATTACACGGTTCGCTAACTATTTTCACGGGTGCGTGAATCATGCGACTCCTCCTGCGTTGGTGCTCCTCAAATAAACCACACGACGCGACGTGGCTTAACGGGTCGTAAAGTACACCGTGATATAATCGATTGTATGGTTTGAAAAGAGACTGATTGAAATTGATGAAAATGGGAGTGCACGTTGAGGAGATCTTACATGTGGTTTTTTAAAATCAATTTAAATAAATTTGAGGCCAGTTATTGTGTAAAAATTTGTAAAATTGTTGTGACCACTAACTCTACCTCTCGTGGCATAGATATTGTATGTATTACATTGGGCAAAAAGTTGAAGTAGAACTCAAAGATAAAAATCTCACAAGAATTTAGAAAAAGAAATTGAATTATTAGTAGTTCAAGCTTTATCAATTTATACAAGGTGTACGTGTAAAATCTTTTCTCCTGTGATATACACATAATCATGGTTTGGATGCAAATACTTGGAAAACCTCAAATTGCGCGTAGAAAGATATTTTTTTAAAGTGTGCCAAGAGAACCAATTGGATTGTTTTCATCTTATCACTTGTGTTTGAGATGATCAAGATTACAATGAAATATTTATAAAAATAGAGTTCACCTTAAACTTTCTCGTGAGGAAAAAATGTCTCAAAAATTGGTGTAGCAATCTAGACCCTCTAGAAATTCAAAGGGGGTAGATAAGCGATCGATAGCACATGTTGCAAGCCTATCGGCCAATAAATTTGCATATTGAGAGAGCGGCTACTGATATTTTCGCTGCATTCGAGTGTGCCCGTTCACCACACGATATGGACGACAAACACAGGAATCGCCCCCCCCCCCCTAACCCTCTCTCTTGTGAGAGCTACATTGCGTGGACCATTTACAGCGTGTTTAACGTCGTATTAATTAAGTGCACCGCGCTCGGTTGTACGCAATCGAGCTCAAATTGACCCGAAGGTCCACCTACTGTGTTACCTTTCCCTTTGCTGGACAGTGAATTAGCTTCGAAAGTTATCCTGTCGTTACAGCTAATGAATTGGCCGATATACTACGTTAAATGAATGGTCAACTTGTGTTATTTATACAATTCTCATTTATGTGGAACAGAGTAAAATTTATTGTTTCGGAGTGTTTGAACAATGTGCATCGCCTTTTTTAAATGATTTTTTGATAAGAACGGTTATTTAAGTAGTCGCGTGGTACGTGGAAGCAAAAAAAAAAATCCCCTGACGATGGGATTATTTTTTTAGTTTCGCGATCAATGGCCAAGATGACAGAATGGCCCGGAGTGTAAACTTTACGCGCGTGCACTCCGAGAGACAAAGTTTTTTTTTTGTGATTGTACGTGAATTGAAAAAGTACGCTTGTACAGTGCTTTATGCAAACGATACAATTTTTATACATCAAAATGAATTTTGATAAATATGGATGATCGCGAAACAGTAAAATAATGAAATTCCAAAAGAGCTGCATTGTACGTGAGATTTATCATGCAAATATTATTCATACCACCAATATGAATGGGAAATACCTTCCTGGGCAATTATATGATGGTTTTTGTGGGAGGCCAAATATGTTTATATTCATCGAGCCCACAAAAGAATAAAAATGAACGTTTTTGAACACGCGGTCAACAATGACTGATTTATCTGACCGTCTATTGTACATTTCGTTCAAACACTGATTGACGAGAAAAATCTTTACGTTGTCAGCAACAATCACTCAACAATGGACCAGCAAATATTTTGTAACACTAGCTTTATATATATATATATATATATATATAAAGCTAGTGTTACAAAATATNGGATCATATTTGGCTATATATATATATACATATTGCAAAGATGACCACAAATTTCTAATGACTTTGAAGATTGATTAATGACTTTCCTGACCGACTGAAACAATAAGTCACGAATATTCATGACGACCTGCAAAGTTATTGTAACAAACAGAAAAAAGAAGATTTTTTAACCAACTTAAATAGCTTTTGTAGACGTTTTTCATAGGTTTTCATGAGGTTTAAATCCTATAGAGTGTGTGTAATGAAATCAACTCAGAAATTAAAGTATCGGTTAGAGAGTTTCGCCAAAAAATGCAACCCAAAACTTTTTGCCTCTTAGAAGGAAGGATTTCTCAGGATTCCCCTTTTAGAATTTCATTGGTATTTCCTAAGTTTTCCTTGACTCCCTAAGTTGTGCCTTTCTAAAAGTAGCATCGTCAGAGATCGGTAGATGGTCGGTGGATTAAAGTAGAAAATCGAAGAAATTAAGGTAAAGTTTGAGAAAGAAAGTTATTAAAAAACATGCCATCAGAACAAGTTCAAGAGCGCAGCAAAGGATGACAAAGGTCTGGATGATTATTGTACTCTTTGCACCTCCATCGTAGAGATCAATAAGACTAGATAACATACCACCTCACAAAGGTGATGGAACAACCCCTCAGTTTTACACTACATTGTTACTGCAACAATTTGGATACTCGTGTTTTTTATCACAAAGATAACAGCAGCTGAACCACTAAATCCTTCCCTAAAAAAAAAGAAATCGGTGAATATTTCTAAAATTCAAATTTCCACCTTATTGATTTAGATACCAACGCCAGTAGAGCACGTTTCCAAGTCAAAAAATAAACTCGCCGGCTTCCTTTTCAAAACACCTGTACCCTGCTTGGCCCCTCGATTGCTCGTTAATCGGTAAGAAAACCATTTCCCTCCGTGTTATTTTCAACCTTTTTCATACTCCCTGACTTATTTCCCGAAGCGTTTTGCTCTTTTCCCTATCCCCGTAAACGTATTGTTCCACCCCGAACCCACGTTGCGCCGTCGTGTACAACTATACCCTCTCTTCTCCTTTTATTCGTGACACAATTTGTACGATTGGGAAAAAAAGTTCTACCACAGCTGTAGTACCATCGACTCGTTAAATTTACTCGATCAACTGCGATTTCTTTCTTCCCCAACTCTTTTTCATTTAGCTTTTTCTTTTTGGACCATCGAAAACTTGGTGTTTTTTTTTACTTTTTAATTTTTGTCCTCTCGCCAGTCACGGGCGGTATTGTTCTTGTAAAAACAATCGAAATCCATCATGCATGAAGCAGTATTTGCAGATCAATGGGTATATCATTGTTGCTTCGCTTTGACTAACTTTGATATTGTGTCTTTCATCGGATTAGGTATATAGTCCAACATTTTAGTTTTTCATCTTTGTCAAGTATTGCAGTTGAAGTTTTTGGTTTTAATTTTTAAGTAAAACGAAAAATCAAGTGCCCACAGATTTTTTTTCAACAGCTAAATATTTGAAAAATGATGATGCATTTAACATCAAACATTGGTTAGTGAGTTGAAGTTAGATGTGACAGGGGGTATAAGATCAAGTGGAAGAGTTTATATGTATAATATTGATCTCAATCTTATCTTTGACACCAGACGATACATTTTATACACTCGGAAAGATTCCAGCAACAAGAATTCTAATCGACAGTAAAGTTGTAGTGAGCGATAAGGTGCATTTGATGGGCTCAAACGAAAATTTATTTACTCAATTTCATTCTCACCCGCGCAAAGTTACAACAGGCAGTACTCATCAAGGTCAATGTTTTCAACTTGACCCGCGATACGCCTCATAAAAATGCACACATCAACAACGCTAGTCCCGTTACCGCGAAATCACCTTTGAAACTGTACCACGACATGAAAAATAGCCTAATTAACACGTTCTCTTTTGTTTCAGGTGAGTCAACCGTAGATCGCGCACGTGCACAGACGGCGAAAAATTTCACGGCTCTCGCGTAAGTATACCGCACCATTGTCGATGATAGACTTAATTAATCGGCGTCTCTCGATTGCGAGAAAGTTTGCCGACGATCCGTATTTTTCACATTTTTTTTTTATTTAGTTTTTTACACGTATACGATTTTTCACAGCGAGAGAAAGCACGTTATTGCTAAAAAGCATGTAAAAACAATAATACAGAAGCCCTGAAAAATCCAACAACTTTCTCAGCTGCAGGAATATATTGGCCAAACAAATTAGTTTTTATTCGACCCATGATAACACCTCTCCTCCTTTTTGGTTTCTCAAAACGATATAATTCCTCGTTAACTGACCCTGTGACGTGGTGAACTGGCCAGCAGCACTGTTCTCTGCTCTCCGGTGGAGTCTCGTTTTTCGTTTCCCCGTTGTAAAAGTTACCTGTGTTTGGCACCTTTGGCATCTTGACGTTTGTTTATCCTTTTATCGTTACCACTCAAGGTTTACTCTTTCATGTCTCTCACGAGACCGGCAGAAATGAGAGTTCACGAAAATGCACAAGTGCATCGTAAGTCTATCAATGACATTAAAACCACAAGAGGCGTTACACATTGAAACACATTAGACGGCGAATCTAATCTTATCAGGCAAGGATCACGGTTGGGTGTTTTCGGAGTATACGCTGGGGGCTCGGGATTTGGGTGACGCTCTGCATAAAGTGACACTCTTGGAGCTGCTCTCGTGGTTGCGATATGCGATGGGATGGAATGTCCCTCCACTAGGATCTCGCGAGTGAGTACAGTGTGTGCGTGCGTGTGTTGATTGTTCTGTCTGAAATGGTGCTGGATATATTATGTATATCTCTCTCTCTCTCTCTCTCTCTCTCTCTCTTTGTTTCCATCTGGCTATCCGCGCCTTTTGTTCAAGTTCACTTCTTCTCTTTTGCGTCGCGATAAACTGCAAAGGAATATACCTTTGGTATATATATATCTTACTTGGTCCAATTCAGAGATGTGGTTATTATTGTTAAGTAATACTGTAACACAGCATGTATTTTAAATAGTTAATTTTTTTTCTCAATTGTGTACAATACGTATACAGTTTTTAGGAAAGCTAGAAAATAATTTTTAAAGCTTCGGGTGCAAAATAAAAATACATGGGCAGCAATCAGCTTCGGTCGAGCCACGGTTACCCCGAATACTTAACAACAACGGAAAGAGCATTAGAGAGACGCGAGACGAATTAAGAGCCCGTGACGAAGATGGTAAATAATGTAGAAGGGCTCATCCTTTGGGGTTCTTTTTCTTGTTTTTCGCTCTTTCGAAACTCGATTGTCCAAGAAGGAAAGCTGCTCGGAGGAGGCTCAGCCCCGCGTTTGGTTGTCAAACTTGGCTGGCATCTCATTAATACGCTTCGGCTCCGCGTGTCAGGTAAACGTGGGAGGAGAGACCGCAGTCCCGAGCGTGGGACACGATAAATCAAATCAATCCAAGTTTGAGGCTTCGACGATAGACGGGTGTGTGTATATGCAAGCATCGGTTCGCTCGTGCGGTGGTTGGCATTGAGCAGCAGAGACAGTTCCGTCATTATATCGATTCGCTTGCGCGGACGCCTGTCTGTTTGTCTGTCTGACGCTCCCTGGGATAATTGCGTATAAATTCGCTGGCAATAACACACGCTGGTGTATAGTATACATGCGAGCTTCACGTGCATGGTGCTGATTAGATTGTCGCTCCGGCCCGGAGGATCTCGATTATATACCTCTCGTTTGATTCATCGTACCACGAAGGTAAAAATATACCGTTGGATCATATTTGGCTTGTTCTAGATATTGCTACGTCGATACGGTGACGACGCAACGAGCACCACATGTAAACCAATTGATGTAAATGTACCTAAAAAAAATAAAATTGGACGAATGTCATTATTTGTCTCTGTCGACTGCGCAGAGCTCCCCGTCTGCCTATCGGTACGACAAAATTACGCAACACGCCGTCTTCGGTGCCTTCAAAGGTCACGTCTCTCTAAAAGCGCCTCTCATCCTCCCAGAGATCAAACAGACAATGTGCTGCAGCTGCTTTTACAGAAGGACACTTGCAACTGCCTTGCCTCCCGTGCTTGCTCGTATAATGCATCTAGCTTCCTTAGTGCGCTTCTTTTTGCTGGCCCCCCACTTTCTTTACCTTAATCGGAGGTGAGGAAATTCAATGATGTCGCGTTTAAAGGGGACTACGGCATGGACTTTGCACCCATTCTGGGTAACCAGTGCTTTGGACCATGGAAAAAAGATCCACCCTGCAGTTCAGAGATAAATAGGGGAGGACAATGTGCTGCTGAGTTAATAACTTTACAAAGCCGTGCTTCGACGTTAAAACATCCTTCAGAGGGAATTACGCTGGTGCGCAATACCAGACGCGAAGCCTCAACAGTCGTTTGGAGGGAATTAATTTCCTTACAGAGCCGTCTTTCACGCTCCCGAGATCATCCCGCACGCGCATTTTTTCATCAGTGGCCTACTCGAGCATCGCGCACACCCGACAACGATGACGTTGGAAGACTTAACAGGCGTCTCGGATGCAGTTTCCTCGCGAAATAGCGCGACCCACATATTCTTGCACCGCCTCCTCGGCTTGCACTGCCACGGGGCTGCTTCTCTCTCAACAACCCGCGCCGTCTCTTTTCTTCCTTGCGTTTCTCAAAATGTACATACCCAAGGAAAATCGAAGCGCGGATATGAGAGCGAATATTGTGGACGCCGCGAGCGTGATTGGAAATCAATGTGATTGCCGGATACGGAGAGAATGGGCTGATTGAGTATTTCTTGGTTGGAAGAAAGAGGGGGAGGGGTTGACGCGTAAGGGCCGCCTTTGTTCCCCCTTGGAGAATCTTTTTTTTTTTTTTTTTTTCGCTACGTGCACCGGATGGGGATCGAATTTTCATTTCAATTATCGGGGCCTTTCATTGTTGACTCGAGATTTTTGCCGATATGGACTTTTTTATCGGGGATGTTGGGTATGGCTTCTTTTTCTTTCGACGAGGGAGAAACTAGACCACTCTATCGAAAGTACGGTGATTCGGTGTAACGGCTCTCGTTGTCCTCCAAAAGTGCAGTTGCTTAGCTTTCAAAGAGTTGGGGGAAAAAACGGCATCTTGATAAGTGTACCACAAAAGTAGATAACGGCCGAGTATGGTCAGACGCGCATACACTGCGCGTAGCGGTATTGTCCTGTTTTATGCTGTTTAATTTTTTGTAATTTTATTCTTTTTATTCTTTTTAAAGAACCTTGAAATCACGTTTGAAAAGTCCATGATTTCGCTTTTTGATAGGTAAGCTTTTTGGGATTTCTTTAGGCTCACGAAAACAGTAATACAGCGTGTTAAAGTCTATAATTTCATAACGTGTACAACTAATTAAATTGAATCCATATTTTTAGGTATCAGTGAAGTACAGCTTTTTACGGATGAACGAGCTTGCAAGCTCTACTTACTTGCAAGACTAAATACCAATACCCTCAAATAATTGTATTGTATGGTGATATACACCTGCATTACACTCTACTAAAAAAAAAAAAAAAAAAAAACATTTATCTACCGTTAAAATGGGATACATAAACATTTGAAAATTGTACCACCTCCTTTATTGAGCTTGCAATTTAGTTGAAGCATCGAGTCAGATGGCCAGCTCCATCCCAAACCCAAGTCAATAAAAACTGCCAATATCAACGAGACAAACTATGACGCAAGTGAAATCCGTCCCGGAGACGTGTAACGTTACCTCAACACTTGATCACTTCATTAGTAGTATTAAACAGTATTCTCCCGTCTGGAATTAGGGAGGCAAAATGTTTCTCTTCTGTATAGCCTCCCTTCATCAAATGAACAATATCGGCGATTCGACTGTACGCCCACGCATACACACACACACACACACACACACGTATATATGTACACAAACACATTCATAGACGACCTCCTCCAGCTCGAGCAAACATCCAAGCGAGAAACCGTTGGCCAACGTAATTGCAGTCCTGCTTCTGCATTGGGTACAAATAAACACCTCTCTCTCTCGTGCTCCCTGCCACGTCTAACGTATCGAGCGAGCCAGGGCATTTATTTCACGAGTAGCCGGGCCTTGGTGTTGCTCGTAACGACTAGTTGCTGCTGCTTTTTTTTTCAAAGACTATGTTGATTTCAAAGCTGAAGCCATAGCATATACAAGATTGGACTTGAATCGTTACTACTGAGCGAGGCAAAAAATAGAGGAATTGGGAATCGCTGATGGAAGCGATTTTGTGTTGCGCCACGGCCAGTAGTTGAGAGGGACTTTTAAGAGATTGAAATTTGTTCGGGAGCGGGCCGTTAATTGAGTTGTCTCTGGAGGTGATGAGAGTGTTGTGTCGCCAGTGCGAAGGTTAAATCACCAGGTTGTACTTCCAGCAAGTTTCGTAACCTTACGGAACTATTTTACTGAGCTTCGGATGAATGTGTTGGAGAAAAAAAAAGTAATGTTTTTTGAATGAATTTTATTTGATGGGAATCCTTAGGTACAGTGCAAGTAATAACGTTGTCACGCGAATTCACTTGAATGGCACAAAAGTGTCATGGTACTGGAAAATAAAACCCCACACTAAATCCAGCCAATGGTCAATAACATTGAAAAAAAGTTTTTATTCATCTTGCTGACGATCAATACCGTAGAAGCCTATTTTTTCTCTCGGTAGATTTTTTCCACCATTTATCTGTAAAAAGCCATCTCTCGATCGGAAATGAGAGAAGCTGCGAGCAATCTAACGTTGAAGTGATTAATCGAAAGCCACAGTAGCCGATCAATGCGACTAGGAGATTGAAAAGAAACAGCTGGATGAAGAGGAAAGGAGGAGTGGATCCCCCTGATGACAATAATTTGGCTCACGTTTTTTCCTCCTAGGATTAGTCGGCTAGCAAAACTTTTTCAGACAATGTTCGAGCAAAAGCCGAGCCAACAAAGGGGGTCTTAAGAGAGATCGTTGGCTTATTGGGCTTGAGGACAATCGAGCAC